GCCCATTAGAAATAAACTGGAGGTGACTGGGTATTGACTCAGAATCCTCCTGAAGCTATCCTGTGTCTCTGTCTTTCTCATTGTCTCCATCTATATTTCTAATATTTCCTCATACCTCTCTACTCCCTCCAAGAACCCTTTGATAGGTTGGAGTTGGCTCCCAACACAACATCTTGCCAAATGCACATTCAGTAAATTTTGTGCCCATAGACTAGTGTACCTCTCAGCCTTGGCTTCTTTCAGCAACAGGTACCTGTCTAAGCAGGGACCCATAACTGGCTAAAATGTTGACACAAAGTGACCGCTGAGTGCTTGTCCCCAAGCAGAATACCTTTGCCAACCCTCTGGGGCTCAGGGCATCTTGAAGAAGAGCTGGTGGAAGGACTATAGGAACCAAAGGATGGGGAGAGTGCAGTGAGGTGCTGATTGCTGGGTACAACATGGCCACTGCAGTCATCAACAAACAACAGCCTTGGTTGCTTGCACAGGGCCTGAAGAAGAAAGGAAAGGAAGAGTGTGGTAGAGGAGACTCATGAAAGAAGGAAGGGAAGAGAGGGAGAGTAGAGGAGACGGGAGAGGATGAGGGGTCAGTTTAGAAGGACTTAGTGAGAAAGGGATGGAAGAAGTTAATGGGAGGTAACTATAACTAAAGTCATTGTGTGCACATGTGGTATTGACAAAGACTGAAAAAACCCTCACTGGCTCAAACTTTTCCATGTGTAATATTTAGACAACTTTCAGATACCATCAGGTCCCACACACTCAATATTTGTTTCTCTTCAATTATTATGTATTTTTGGCGCCAAACATTATGCTCATCAGGAATATGCAGTCTTGTCTCAATTATAGATTCCCCATTGTAATAGAAGGTAAAATACAATGTTAAATTTATATTCTGTTCTATGTTCATAATTTTTAAAAGAGGAGAATATTTACACTAGTGTTCTTGAAGAGTATAGAAACTGTGTGTTCCACCAAGCTGCGAAGTTTGGGCTTGTATTCACACATAAGAACCCAAACATAAGAACATAGATATGTTAATGACGTTATAACCTTCATTTATATTACTTGAATATGTTACAGAATAGCATATCTATTTATATGCTTGTTTTTCTTTGAATTTTGCTTATTGTCATCATAATTTCATTAAGGTATTATTAGGGAAGCACTATAATATCCTCACTATTCAATTTATGAGTAAGTTCTCAGGATGCTGTCTCTGTTCCAGGTAAGCAAGCTTATAGTACCTTAGTTTTTTGGGTAGACATCACTCCCCACCCTACCTTCAAGCTGAAGCCTCTGTTAATCAACCAATTTCCCTCAGTATGAAAACTTTCACAGAATCCACATGAAACAGAGGCCAGATAAACCAACCAGCATATGGACTGATCATGAGTTTCACAGGGAAATCAGATCTTACACCTTCTTTCCATGACTTCTTGTCCATTTCCCTAGTTCTGGTTGGCTATACCATCTCTTATTTGGGATTGCATCTTTGTGCGAAAAATTCTGCACATGTAGAGTATATTCCTAATGTCCACAGTGCTGTTAAAGATGACAGAACTATGTTACTAACCAAGTGTAATTAAAATTTCAAAGGTTTGTATTGATTTAGAGTACAGATTTTTTAACTGTGTTTAGAATCAAAACAAAACAACAAAACAAAAAACCATGGGGAAAGCAAAATGTTTCTAAGGATCCAGAATCCAAAGGATCTCAAAGTCAAACACATTAGCAGCTGAGATGTCTCCAGATGCTCTTGACTGTGCGGCATTGCACAACTTCACCACAGCCTTGGATGTAAATACATGAGATGCCCGCTTTGCCATGTGTGCCGCCCCACATTCAATACCAAGGCACACCACCTGAAACACCTTCACACAGATTCACGCTTACTGTGTGCTTAGGGGTGTGCTGTTTTTATTGTGCACACAAAGGTTCTTGCCTTACAGAAACCTGAGAGTTAAATATTGAAAACAAATCATTTTAACAGTTTCCTATCATTGTTCTTCAGCATGTATCGAATAACTATGCATTTGGATTGTGTTGTGTTTGAATGTTTGATCTTAAAACTTGCTGTTTGAAGGGAGTTTAGAATACATAGCAAAAGGTCAAATGCCTACAGTGCGAGCATGTGGACCTGAGTTCGTATCCCCAGAACCCACATGAAAAGTTGCATAGGTGCCATAGGGATTACAGAATCCTAGCACCAGAGAGGTAGAAGCAGGAGAATCACTGGGGCTCACTGGCCTACTCGCCTTGCCCAATCAGTTAGCTCTATGCTCAGTGAGAGACCCTGTAGCCAAAAGTAAGGTGGGGAGCAGTAGCAGATAGCCATACATCCTCACTCACAAACATGTGTAACACACACACACACACACACACACACACACTGTTTGATATGTTAGACTTTTTGCCCAATATCTGCAAGTTCCTGGATTCAATACCTGGAATCGATAGGGGAAAAAAATGCTCTTTGAGTAGCTTACTAGATTTTTTATAAAATAGTCCAGTTTTGGCATGGGATTTACACAGAATTTATAGCAATTTCTGAAATGGTAATCAACTTATTTCTGCCCTTTTTTGCTATGTATTCATGAAAAACAATATTCTCAACATTGATGATTACAACTTTGAAAGATGAATCAACTCTAAAAGCACTGATAATTTTTGAACTGTAGTGAGCAGCACCAAATATTGTCGACCATTACTTCTTTATGTATAAATAATTTAGCATATCTATCCCATTATTATACAAATATGCTTTCATTTTTAATGAGAGATAAGCTATATGTTTACAAAATAACTTTTAAAATACATTTATATATGGTTTATTGTAACTGCATGTCACTTGTTCTCTGTACTTGGGTTGTGGTTTTCTATAATGGTCTCCATCTGATGCAAGATATATATATATAATCAAAGGGCTGACACTTCCCTGTGAGTATAAGGATAACTATTTAGATTGTAGTTTGTAATGATGCTGATTTAGTAAAGTGGGGGTTGGAGTTTCTCCTCCAAGAACCATGTCCTCACTAGCCTCAGGTATATGTCTTAGTTTCCAGTAGCAGGCATGAGTTCCCTCCTGTTGAGCTGGCCTCAAGTCTAGTCAGAAGGCTGTTCATACCACCAAGGTATGTGTGCCTCTATTGTACCCTTAAGGATATCTATCATGCCTTGCTCGTTGTTTTAGTTCATAAGCACCATAAGTGGGTAGGACTATTGTTTGCTTTCCTCCATTGAAATCTTCTATGGAGCCTTCTGGTACCATGAAAATTAATCTTCAGGAAGGATGCTTTCAGGTAAGATCCAATTTGAATCCTGGTTCTGTGTCCAAAGTATTCAGTGTCTTCAGTAGTAGGGATTTACCTTCAACCTTTGAGAGTCAACCACAGTATCCTATAATGGTCTGTTGGACAGCTTTAACCAACAGCTCAATAGGGGGGTTCTCATGGCTGATTTAGGTTTTTTTTTTTATATTGTCTTTGGCTCTTGGGAAGAACATTGTCACCTCACATGGAAAAATTTTACCTAAACTATATATGTATATGTATAAACAGACTTATGTGTGTTATATGTAATTTTAGGTATGTAGATAATAGTATTGATTTTCCCCAGACATCTTTACTGTTAATGTGTTTTTTAAAAGGCTAGTAAATAGTCGGGATTAAGTTTTTGAGTAAAATACATCTTTTATGTTAGTCTTAGTAATTTTTCTTTACGAGTTCTTGGCCAAGTGGTGTTTCTTTACAGCAGAGCTCACCACTCACTGAATTCTCAGACTTGTTTAAGAGTTTCTTCCCATCTCTGTGGGCTGATTTTCGTACCTCCCTGGGATTCGTTTCTAATTCTGAATTTATTTCAATCATCTCACTATTCCAATACCCCTTCTCTGTGCCCTTATGTTGCCTTCAAGATAAACCAGTAGTTTTTGACTAATATAGACCCAATTCAAAGACATGTCACAGAGTGTGGTCACCACATAGCCTGGTGTCAAATGATGTGTTTACACTACTGCCACATGCATCCTCTGTGTCAACCATGTCCATTTTTCAGGGTTCTAGCTTTTACTGCTATATAATGAGATATTTGAGATCTAGGTGGTAGAAACAAATATATGTTGTATTCACTAAGTCTGTGGATTGGGAATTTGGCCATGGCATAGTGGAGTGTTTGTCATTATTCCATCGTGTCTAGGATCACAGCCATATGACTGAACTCTTGGAGGCTAGAGTCATCTGAAGTTTCTTTAGTCACAGTTATAGGGACTTACCCTGGTTGTTGGCTTGGTGCCTCTGTTCATCTTCACGTATATTCTCCGTGAAGGCCTGCCTCGTTTTGTGACCATTGCACAGGTGATTTGGGGATTTCTTCTGGAATATCAACTGATTTAATAGTGTCCCTTTTTTATAACCTAGTTTTAGAAATCACATAATATTGTTCCCACTATAAAATATTACTTAGACAACCACAATGTACCCAGCTTCAAGGGGATGGATAAATACAATCTATGTTTTTATCAACAGGGAACAGAACTTGGAAAAGTATAAAAGAACAGAAATAGCATCATGGCTGATTTAAAACAAAACAAAACTATAATACACCACATTCAAGCTCTTAGTTCATAGTCCACTATCATAAACACACTATTACAAGGCATGGCCTTCCTATTTCACATAGTAGTATCTGATTAAGTGGGTGACTACAGAGAACCAGCATTTCTGCCATTTTCTTTAATCAAAATTGGTTTTCTTGCAGTCATTTGGTAGTCTAAGAATTAGACACTCATGGTAGTATGGAGAATTTCAATGGCAAAACACTATGTATTTGTCACAAATGATAGTGAAAACTACTCTTCCTTAGCTACATGTGAATACCTCATTTCAGACATTAATTTATAGAATTTGTTTTATATGTAACTATAACTCACACAAAAGGCTGATAATATATTTGATACCTTGCTCAGTTCTATACTTGCATATAACTATTATGTATTTAAGATGGCTGATCACACTGAAGTGATGAGAGGCATTCATCAGTATCCAGGAGTTCGCTATCCTGTCCTGGTACCTAATCTTCAAGGTTTTCACCATGCTGTAAGTGTGCTACTGTTTTATTTAAAATTGCCTTTATTGTTTTGAAGATCTTTAAAAGTTAAAATGCTGTTATGTTTAATTCATTACTCTGCTGATAAACTAACATAAACACGTAGAGATCAAGATTCCCCAATGGCATTGCAGAACCTAACATATTCTCCAGATAGCTCTTTCATTGTAACTGTTCAAGATTTTAATAATAAAAGTATAATTCTCTATTTTGGATGAAAATTTGAAATTTTATTTTGTGCTTCCCTATTAAGAAGCTAAAATAGAGTATATCTGAAACATTTATTGATGAAGCATTATAATTTTTAATATTCCTGAAATAAATGATTTGTCAACATTTTGGGGCCAGCCTTTTGTTTATGTGGATTCTTCTTTTACCCTAAAACTAATCATTGTCACTGCATCTGCTTCTAGTGACTTTATACCTCTTTTGTTTTATTTATTGTGATTCTGTGTGCTTTAGGGACTTATGTGATTTAAATAAGAGTTTTAATGACAGCACACACATAAAGAACCACATTACTTTTACATAAAAACTTACTGTATTATCTTCACGTATGTTTGTTGCAAAGATGTTACAGTATATGGTCCTCATGTCAGTGAGTATTGTAAGCTCTCCATGTGATACTATGCTACATGAAGTTATAGGAGTCTATTTAGTACATTACTGCTGGTGTGTATGCTGTTAGAACCATTTATCTTTCATTTGATTTGATACAATTTTATGGCATTATAAAATTAAAGAATATTACTGTCACCATGTCTTCCAAAGTAGAGAAGGTCTCCATCTTAGAGAAAATTCTTAGGGTACATCCTAACAATAGTGTAACCACAGAATAAACACTAGCTTGGGAGTTGTAAGTTTATAATCGAAGCATGGTTTAGTAGCTTACTATCTACCTGAGATTGAATGGCAAATGACTTTGTTTGTGCCAAATTTGTAAAATGAACCCAATAATAGTTACAGGGGGTTTTCAGATTACAAAAAAAATGCAGGCAAAGTTCTAACATTCCTGGCAAAGAATAGGTGTTTAATGAAATAGACATTTTATTTTAGAAATTCAAAATTCACATTTTAACAGTGGAACAAAGCTGAGTGTCTTCTACATGTTGGAAGAAAGATCAATCTTTTTTTTTCTTTCTTAATGTATTAACAGGCAATCAAAGATGAGGGCATGTAAATCCTAGTCAGACAGTGAGTGAGACATTAACATGATGTCTAACAGATGCCTTTTAGGAATCTGTAAGGCTTGACCTTTGAAAATGTATTACTACAGATGCAGTGTGTAATATAATATGGTGGTATAAATATAACAAAGGGATAAAGGGGACAGAGTGATTCAGTTATTATTTTAGAGTTAAAGACTAGCAATTGGACTTGCACCTTAGTCACACGAGTGCACGGCTTTGGTAGTCAGGATACAAAGTAATAGAGGCTAGTTAGGAACTAGAGTGAAATTTGGAAGCAAAATTTAAGTGATGAATTAGGAAAATATTTGCTGTTGGTAAGACATTCTCTGTTGGATTATAGGAAGCAAACAAAGACAGAATTAGTTTGTATTGCTCTCTTTCAACAATTGGTTTCAAAATAATGTTCTAAAAAATTCAGGCTTTAGTGGAGTATACATTTTCCCCAACCCCATAATTATGGTTAAAGTGTTTTGAGGATAACATGATGAAAGACAGAATTAACGGGTTCATCATCTCTGTGTTTTATGTGTCTCATAATCTTGAGAATATTGTAGTTTGTGGAATTTTCTTGTTACTATAAAATATTTTTCCATTTCAAAACAGTGTAAGTGGCAAACAGAGAGGAATCTGACTTTAAATCTTAAGGCAGCATGAGAACACAGGAATGCCATTAGAGTAGTCTGTCTCCTGCTACCATTCACAAGACTTTAAAACATGTTAGCATTGGGCTGTACACTGTGTCTTTCAGGTTGCTGCTGGAGCCACTGAGATAGCAGTTTTTGGTGCTGCTTCTGAATCTTTCAGCAAGAAGAATATTAACTGCTCCATTGAAGAAAGTATGGGAAGGTTTGAGGAGGTTATCAGCTCTGCAAGGCACATGGACATCCCAGTACGAGGGTACTCATGAAACCCAACTCGATTCCATTAGTATCTATTTTTAGTTTACTTATAAACCACCTTGATCATTTTTTTATCATTTACTAATATATATTATATTATATATAGTATATGAACCATATTTATTTATAGTAATCACTAAGTAATTATATCCCATTAATAACAATCACCATGTTTCTAGCCTGTGGAATCTGGAATCTGTATGATATCAGGGAGCTAGACTATGAACCTCACATTAAGATTCAGCTATCCAGATGTAGTTATGTGTTGTACCAGACTCACATGTGTCAGTAAATTAGAGCTGTTTCTGCAAATGCTGGTGTATCTGAGATCCTTACTCTTTTCTTGTAGAAACTGCATTGCTTTGGATCTGCATCGCTGGCTTTCATTACAGGAAATCCCATTAAGGGCAACAGAGGAGGAAAAACTGTCATAGATCAAAAACCCAGTTTTCTCTTTTAGGAGTTTACATGGTTGCCTTGAATTGAACTATCATGTCATGTCATTTCTGAATTCACTGTCCTGGGGCTCGTGCAATAGAGCCATGTGCAAACCATTAGAAAACAGGGTAGTGGAGAGCAGAGACAGGAAGGTAAGGAGGCCATTAGCATGATGGAACCAAAGGAAGGGGGAAAGTCTGCATTTGGTTTTGCCTGCTTCCAAGGCCAGTGGTTGCAGCATAGATTTGGAGTTGTTCCTCTGCATGGCAAAACATGCAATAAATTATTTGTTATTGAGGAAAGATAGTAGTTTGTTTTCTAAGAATTATATAAATATCCAGATATGATGAGCTTTATGCTGGATTTAACTGTTCCTTGTAATTCTTTTAGTTGAAGTGAGCAAAGTCTGTAGTGGCAGAATAATTCAGCAATTAATAAGAGAAGAGGGTTGGCTTAATGATCCCTAGTGCTGAAAATTTAAAAATATTAATAAAGTGTATTCTAGTTAGAATTTCTATTGCTGCAATGAAACCCCATGACCAAAAAGCAAGTTGGAGAGGAAAGAATTGATTTGGCTTACACTTCCAGATCATAGTCCATCATTGGAGGAATTCAGAACAGGAACTCAAGCAGGGCCGGAACCTGGAGGCAGGAACTGTTGCAGAGGCCATGGAGGAGTGCTACTTACTGGCTTGCTTCCCCTGGCTTGCTCAGCCTTTTCTCCTATAGAATCTAGAACCACCAGCCCAGGAATGGCACCACCCACAGTGGGTTTGGTCTTCTCCCACTGATCACTAATTGGAAAAAAAAAAAAAAAGTCTTGCAGCTGGATCTCAAGGAGGCATTTCCTCAGCTGAGGCTCCTTCCTCTCTGATGACTCTAGCTGTGTCAAGTTGACACACAAAACCAGCCAGTGGAATGTTAAAGATGATTGTTTTTGAGGGAGGGCGTTACAACGTTGGAATTAAGCCTAGGTCATTTGGAGAACAGACTTAGAATATACCACACAGTGTTTTCTATTGAAACGTATCTTCCCAACTCTATACCATAAAGTTTTTTTTAAAGTATCTATCTTCATAGCTTAATAGAAAATTTTCATGTGAAGAACTTGCAAAAAATTAAGCCAAGATGATGCACACCCATTGTCATAAAATAATAGTTTATTTATTTTAAGGCCAAATTATGTAACCACAATAAAAAGGAGAGATGTTTTATAAACCTTCAAATTCAAATATCACTAAGTTGTTTCGCCTTTCTTACCTTTAAAAGAAAGGGCAAATAAACACCCTTGTCTATTTAAAAAGGTGAACAATATTTAGAGGAAAGTGTTTCTCACTGGAAAAGTTTAGGAAACTCATTATAAAGCCTTGTTGGTGGATTGCTGTGGGTACTCTATTGTAGAGTTGTAGTGTAGACAGATATAAGCTTCCCAATACTTTTTTTTTGTCTAATTTGAGGTTTATTTCTGAATTTCCCAGAGGACTATCCATTTGTAGAAATATAACTTTTAGGCTGGGCGGTGGTGGTGCATGCCTTTAATCCCAGCACTCGGGAGGCAGAGGCAGGCGGATCTCTGTGAGTTCGAGGCCAGCCTGGACTACAGAGGGAGTTCCAGGAAAGGCGCAAAGCTACACAGAAAAACCCTGTCTCAAAAAACAAAAACAACAACAAAAAAAGAAATATAACTTTTAGCATGTGTGATCCTTAATTGTTTGAGTACTTTATTTTCTTCACTAACTTTGCATTGAATTTAAATATGATTCTATTTTTGTATTGTATTCATCCTTTGAGAATTTTACATGTGTGTACACACACACACACACACACACACATACATAGACACAATGCATTTTAATCATATCAATCTCCCATTCCTTCCAAATTCTCTTACCTCTTCCTCACTTCTGCTTGCCTCTCCCAATTTTATGTCTTCTTTTTATAGCACACTGTGTTATGTCCTTATAAATGTATTATTATAAAATAAAAAGTCTGGAGGCTCCATTTATCAAAGCATAAAACATGAAAAATCTGCAAATAGCCAGTGTGATATGGGCTGTCATTTTACCTCTGATGTCTGAGCTGTGTGTGGCTGAAGTGCATTTCTCCCCCTTTTAGGAACCTAAGTTAAGTTATTTATCTATTTTTAAAAGACAACAAAATGCAAGAATATATATGTGAAGAGCATCTGTGGCATTTCTTCACAACTTTCCAGAAGAAAAAAAAGCCTGAAAATGAAATTATGAGACCGAGGGATAAGGTGACTTGTTAATTAGATAGTATTAAAAACCCACAGCTTTCATTTAGGTACAGAAAGCAAAGACAATTGTGAGGTGTAATGTTTCATTTTAGTAATAATTTGTTCATACAAAGTGACTAATATTTACTACTAATTAGAAGGAGGTGATTTTCTCCAGCCACAATCTGTGCAGTCCTTATTTACCTTTTTACCAAACCAATCCAAACCAAGCCTGTTTTGTTTCCAAAATATGTTGCATCGGAGGTATTAGTGATCTGTTTCTTTAGTGGAAGACACTCACTGTGAAGACGCTCCTCCACTGTATGGCCGTTCTTCAATCGGCTGCTCAGTTCTGTTGAGCTTGCAACCTTGAGAACAGTAACCTTCCCAACTGCCAAAAAGGAAGGGCAGTCTCCCCCAACTTTCACTTCACGGAATGATTTATAGCCCAACACATTTATTCAAAACTTTCAGCTTTCAACCTGAATTAGCCAAGCCATCTATCTAAATCATGCTGCAGAGTTTGTGTGTCCCGCACTTCTTGCTGCCTGAGGCCAGATGCCACATAGATTATGATCCTGACCTTGAAGGGGAGGGCAGCCTTATTTCGAGGGATAATGAGGCTCTGTATTCAGAGCTCCGCTTTTATGTGGGCAGGGAGGAGCAGGCAGTGCTGCTTCTGAATGACTACCAAACGGCCTCCACTGGACAGTCTCCCTCCGAGGAATTCACATGGGGATACATCACCATCTCCAATTAACAGAAGCTGCTTATAAAGTTACTTTTTAAACCTTTACCATTAAACTGAGGTCTGCAAGAAAACATGAAATAATAGGTTGCTGAAATATGGTACATAAAACTAAAACTCAGACATCTGCTTTTGGCATATTTTTTCCTATGTATAGTGTTTACTTAAAATTTATAGTTCATGTAAGTGTATGTAACCTACCATCAGTGTAAAACAGGGGGCTGAGACTGGATGAGGGTCAGTTTATCTAGTACATTGACTTTTTCTTTTTTCCTTCCTTCCTTCCTTCCTTCCTTCCTTCCTTCCTTCCTTCCTTCTCATCTCTTCTCTTTTCTTTTCTTGGTTTTTGGATACAGGTCTTGCTATGTAGCTCTGTCTGTCTTAAATTGCCAGCTTGACCTCCTCTTGTGGCACTCCTCTTAGCTCCCCCACCCCTGGGTATTATAGGAATGTGCCACCATGCTTTTTTTTTTTTTTTTCCTTTTTTCTCCTTTTATTGAAATTTTTTTCACATAATATATCAGATATATAAACAGAGACCTAAGGGGGCAGATTTGATGGAGACATTCCTTTTTAGGGCTGAATGTTCCAAGGTCTCTCAATCTCTGCATATTGTCTGGCTGTTGGATCTCTGTATTTGTTCCCATCTGCTGCAAGAGGAAGCTTCTCTGATGATGACTGAACAAGGTGCCGATTTATGAGTGTAGCAGAATTCATTAGGAGTCTTTTTATTGCTATGTTCTTTTAGTAGAACCATAGTATTTGGTTTTACCCTAGGTCCCTGGGCTATCTAGTCTCAGGTTCTTGGTCATCCAAGCAGAGTCAGGTATAGGTTCCATCTTGTGTATTGGACCCTAAATTGAATCAGATATTGTTTGGTTACTCCCACAAGCTTTGTGCCATCATTGTACTAGACTATCTTGCGGGCGGGTCACCATTGCTGATCAAAGGCTTTGTAGCTGGGTTGGGGTTTATGTGCATATATTTGGCTGTTAGCTTGGTGTTTTTGTGGGACTCCTAACAGTGGGAGAGGGTGTGTCTCTGACTCTTTTGCCTGCTCTTGGGACTCTTTTCTTCCTATTGTATTGCCTTGTCCAGCCTCGATATGAAGGTTTTTGCTTTGTCTTATTGTATCTTGTTTTGTTGTGTTTGTCTATTGTCTCTTGAAGGCCTGCTCTTTTCTGAAGAGGAAACAGAGGATGAGTAGATGTGGGGGAGAAGGGAGGTATTGGAGCTGGAAGGAGTGGAGAGAAGAGAAACTGTGGTTGGGATATGTTGTGTGACAGAAGAATCTGTTTCCAATAAAAAAAAATGAAATTTGAAAGTCGTTTTGATTTGTGTTTCCCTGATGGCTAAGGATGTTGAACATTTCTTTAAGTGTTTCCCAGCCATTTGAGAATTCTGTTTAGATCTGTACTCCATTTTTAAATTAGGTCGTTTTCCTGATATCTATTTTTTAAAATCTATTTTGGATTTTAGCCCTCTATCAATGTATAGTTGGTAAAAATCTTTTCAACAATATATAGGCTGCCACTTTGAGTGATGGTGCATAAGCTTTTTATTTGTTAATTGTTGATCTTAGTGCCTGTGCTAACAGTGTTCTGTTCAGAGAGTCTTTTTCTGTACTAATGAGATCAAGACTGTCCCCCACTTCTCTTCTATCAGGTTCAGTTTTATGTTGAGTTCTTCAATAGAACTTTTGAGAAAAGAGATTAGCACACTTTGGATTACAGGCCTTTGTATGCCAATTTTGCTTGAAGAATCTTAAAGTCCAGATAAAGACATAGTTTGAGGAATACTGCATTGGTTCTGTAGTAAGTAACTCTACATGTAAATAAGTCAAAGAAGGCACTCACAAAATTGAGGAATATACTGTGAAGATATAGTTCAGTGGAACTGAAGCTGGGCCATGGTGGCGCACACCTTTAATCCCAGCACATGGAAGGGAGAGGCAGGCAGATCTCTGTGAGTTCAAGGCCAGCCTGGTCTACAGAATGAGTTCCAGGATAGCCAAAGCTCCATAGACAAACCTTGTCTCAAAAAAAAAGGGAAAATATGTAACTGGCACCTTAGGTATTATATTTAGTCACATCTCAGTGTTTGGGATTTAATCAGTTTTTGCGTATTACTAGAATCATTGTATTTGGATTGGAATTTCTCCTCTTTTATACAACTTTCTCTAGTGTTATGCCATTTTCTTTTCTTCTCATGTGTCTTGGTCACATTTTAACAACTTATGAAGTATATATAAGAACTGGAAGAGCAAGATATGTTTCCAATAAATTTGAATTCCCCTTCCTCATCCTTTGAACTGTGTGTTGGGCTTGTTAAACAGCTTATCTATTTCATTCCTCAAATGTAAATTTTATTTAAATGAATACCTCCAAATTAAGTTACATCTGACAATCGGTGTGTACTAGCCCATTTAGTGTGTACCTCAAGTCTGTTCCTTCTGAGTTTTCTAATGAATCACAAATTTAATGAAGATGTTAGTATGATTTCTTTTTGCTCCCATCTTCCTTCTGACAGCCATTTATGAAGACTAGATTTCTATAAAGCAAATTTTATCTTTCAGGGCCTTGCCTAAATTTTCTGAGTGCCTCAGAATAGTTCGGAATCATCTCAAAGTCTGGCCTCCTTTGTAAACACAGCACTTGCTGTCTAGAATCTTTCTTGTCCTAGACTAAGGACTGTATCTGCAGCCCCACTTCCTCTACCCTTCTCTCCCCACGTGGCTTTCTTCACTCCAGACCACCAGACATATGATGCATTATTTTAAGACTGCATTGTAAAAGTGTCTGAGGCTGGTTCGGTAAAGTGGGGTTGGAGAGAAGCTGAAAATGGTTAATATAGGCTTGTCATCAAGCTTGATAGTAATATGGAAAGGGATCACTATCTTTAAGTGGAAATGAATTTGCTGAGGAAGCTTATAGAATATCTTTATCCATAATCTTTTTTTTAGAAAAGTATCAACAATTTTTAATAAAATGAATTAAAACATAAATGTGAGCTCAGGATGTTTCCTTCCTTCTCTGTGGCTCCAGGTCGATGCAATGGTTGACTTTCTTTTAACCTCATCCATCCAATGCCTGCTGTGTAAACAGGTCTTCTTTTCTCTGTCTGTGATGTTTCTCCACCTCCTACATGGTACACATACTTTCCATCTCAATGTCTTTAATTCAGTTACATTTGCCAAGCTGGTTTCCTATCTCACGTAACATTACAGGTTCCAGGTACTGGTATTTCATATTTTTGTATACCTTTCTTCAAGATATAACATATAGAAAGATAGTAAAAAGAGAAGCTTTCAGATTTAACTATGTTTATACTACTTGCCCCGTTCATCTTTATCCATAATCTTTAAGCCCGTTAGACACTATTCTATTTGAAACAAGTTAGATATACTCATGAGAGAAATAAGATGAATTCTGAGGTGGTGGCTACTTCCTGGGGCTGGAAATGAATAATGGCTGTATCTTGTTTGTTGTTAAAACATCTAGATAGGTGTATGGAGAGAATCTTCATTTTCGCATGCCAGCTCTATATAATTCTATAGGCTTGGGTATTTAAATATTAAATTTATAAATCTAAATAAAACTACATTTCACTAGTGTTTTCTGCTTTGAATATTTATATGATGCTCTAGTACAGTGGTTCTCAACCTCTGCAATGTTGTGACCCACCAATGCAGTTCCTTATGTTGTGGTGACCCCCAATGACAAAATTATTTCTGTTGCTACCTCATAACTATAATTTTGCTGCTGTTATGAATCATAATGTTAATATCTAATATACTGGATGGTCTCAGTAGACTTCTGTGAAATAATTGTTCGACCCTCAAAGTCATCAAAACCCACAGGCTGAGAACCACTGCTATAGTATAAAAAGCTCATATAATGTTCTCTAATCACTGTCATCATCAAATAACATTATCAAATTTTAATTATTTGATAGATTAAAGGCTTAATGCTCTGAAATAATTTTTATTTAGTTGGAAAATAAGGTAAAGGCATAAAATAATTTTGCTCGATGCATTTTTGTTATTCATTTTTAAAGTGGAAACTTGGAAATGATTGATGGATCATATTCCTGTATGTTTTTAATGTAGGTATGTGTCCTGTGCTCTGGGCTGTCCATATGAAGGAAGCATCACACCACAGAAAGTCACAGAAGTAAGAAACATCCCCAGTCTTTATGGTTACTAGTAAATTGATGGTATTATCAGTAAATTTAGACAGTTTGCTTTATTATTTATTGAATTTCAATAGCAAAGACTAAAGAGAAACATGACTGAGAAATTATCACTGAAAATGTGTTGAGTTACTTAGCTAGTCATTTCATTTTCTTTTAACATAGACCTATCAGCTCTAACTTTCCAAAGGTGGCTGACAAGTCTTATAACTTGGATGCTTTAAAGACAAAAAGAGTAAAAGCAAGACAGCCGTCTTGCTTGTGCATGATTTTAACCAAAGGAGTGCTTTCCCAATTCCCATCACAATGTCAGACAGTTGTGCACACACATGTATGCAGCTCTTTCTCATACATACTTACCTCAGAGCATGTGTTTCAGTGTTTCTGTTCATTTGTGATCTTCATTATTGTGCTGTGTTGTTATGACAGACATTTATGGCAATAGAGTGTAGTCATTAAGAATCTCCATACTGGACTTTTAAATCTGTTAATTCTATTCTAAATCTTTTTTCTTACCATCATTTCATATTAATGAATACCTAATACTCTACTTTGAGAATTTGTGTAGAAATTTATTTGTCGATAGAGTATATTTATATAAACTTCTGCTAAGATTATAAATTTTCATAAATTTTGTAACACAACACTGAAACAGTAAATGTGACATGATTAGTAAACCCCAAATTATGTAGATTAAACTTTTAGTCCAGCTGAAGTAATTCCTTCCTTGTTCACTCATTTGAACTCTGAAGATTACTGAAGATTTTTCAAATGAGGGTTACTTCATTATGTCTTATATTAAAGGTCCTTGATCACAGAGGCAAATACACTAGGAAATGATGAAGCTTAGGTTTTATATCCATTTACTTACATCCAAGACTGTTTTATGAATTTGCACGGACTGCTATATATTGATTTTTTTTGGAGAGTATTTCCAGAGGGCTTGACTCTGGCCTCATTTCTTGAAGACACCAGACTGCTAGTTGTCCTGTTGCACTCTTCTAGCATGGAGGAGCTGCATACTCATTTTTTTTTATACCATAACAACTGGGGTGCTGCTGAAGCCTTGCAGACAGATTAGAAGTATTAAAAATTCATGATCAGCAACCATGCTGCAGGGGCCTTTGTGCTAACCTAATACATTTTGTGAATTTATTCTTTTCTTTCTGAAACGACTATTTGAAACTTGATTACTTTTGCAGACTCTCACCCTTCTTCACACTTAATGCCCCTGTTTCTTGCTTGCTCGTGGCACTCCCTTGCACATTTGACTTTTTCCCTGCTTTGGAATGCTCTCTGCCTTTCACACTTCAGTGGCTTGGAACTCACTAACCTTTGTGTGTGTCTCCTTTCACAAACACATTTCAGACCCTCTCTCCCACCCTTTTAAAGCTTACTTTATCTCAAGACACTCCACTTTCATGCTTGACAGCTCTAGGCCAGTGCCTAGTGTCCTTTCACATATGATGTAGAATCCTGTTTCTCTGTCCAGAGTCTTATTTTAGTTTGATTTGTGCTTATCAGTGATATCGGCAAAAAAACTGGTCCTCATTTATATCCATGATCACAAGAGACATGCCAACATCACTTTCTCATCAATCTCATCACCTAGCACAGCGCCTGCAATAAGGTGGCTCTGGACAAGCACAAGTTGAATGAAAAAAAAATCTTTTTACTTACTTTATTTTGCAGCCAAGTATGCTGTTAACATTGTCCTGATTATTGCTAGTTTTGAAAGCATACTTTGGAAAGCATTCTAGATGAGGACATTTTGTCATCTATATTCAATAAATCAGTAACCAAAGCACAGTAGATTAATCTCATGATCAATGCAGTATCAAAGAGGTAATCTGGGTGAGAGCTAATATTCAAATCTCTATTTGTCTCATTCTAGAAACTCTGCCAAAATATCATGATGTCTTCATGCAGTCCACATTGCTCTTTCATTGTAGTGTTGGTTATTAGGCTTCAAGATAACTTGAAATTTACCTGACTTGAGTCCCTTCACTCACAAGATAGAAAATTTAAGCTAGGAATATTAAGTGATTCTTCTAATTGCTAAATACCTTAGTGACAGAGTTGAAATTTCTGCTGATGACTCATGACCTCTGAGATAATGCCCAAAGAAACACTCCTTCCAATGTAGACCTTCAATGCTTCTTTTCAGTTAAAGTTGAGAAATATCAACCTCATCTATGTGAAATCACAACTTGACCTCAAACAGATATATATGAAGTGGGTGTGACTTTAAGACAAACTTGAACAGATAACATAATAACAGTAATTTCATCCAAAATATTGATATGGGGCTTAAAATTTAATGAGCATAAAAGAGGACCGGGAAACCAAAGTACACACTTTGCATGGGCAAACTCATCAGAGTTGTCATTTTTATCTCCAGGTGGTGATTGCTCGAGTCGCAGGGTTGGTGTCAGCTCATTTCCATATTTTCACCAGCAGTTTGCCTTTCAACAGGTCTCAAAGAGATTGTATGGAATGGGCTGCTATGAGATCTCCTTGGGAGACACAACTGGAGTGGGCACTCCGGGCAGCATGAAGATGATGTTGGAAAGTGTCATGAAAGAAATCCCTCCAGGGGCTCTTGCTGTTCATTGCCATGACACGTACGGACAAGCCCTTGCAAATATCCTAACAGCTCTTCAGGTATTTGTAGTCTTGGTGTGCTATGCTGTAGGTGTGCACAGTTACCTATGATACAAGCATGTTGAGAGTTTTAGTGAAATAAATTTATGAAATACAAATATAGTGCTTAAACAACAATATGTATTGTATAGTTTATGTTGAGATTCTAGGAATATGATGTTTCAACATAGATACACACATGAAATACTTGTAAATGCTACATGATTTTTTAAAGAAAATGGAGGTCTCATTACTATTTGTATGATTTGGTCAAGTTGGTGGTCTTATTCTATTAGACCTATAGCTTCTAATTTCAATACCTATATACCTCAACTATAAAATTTAATACAGTTGAATATTATGATATGTTGAGAAGTAAAGACACAAAAACAGTAGTATGCAACATTGTAATCATGAAATGAGTGATCTCTTGTTAATTTGGTTGTTCTGTGATGAATATATGTGGAGTAGGAACAGAGACTATTTTATTAAACCATTTTTTTCTAAAGTTTGCAACCTCACATTGCGTGTATGCACATGCACCTAGGAATCTAGTGTAAAAGCCCTATGTGTGCTGGGTAATCACTCTGTCACTGAGCCCACAACTTCACTTTTAATATAACTTGTTTATTTTAACCGAATAGATTCCTTTATTTAGTTAAAGAAAAATATCTAAAAAGTTAGAATACTAAGAATCATTAAGTTATATGCTATTCTAGATGTACTCATCTAAAGAGTAAATTTAAATAATTTTATTTAAAATTTTCTTAATCTTATGAAAAATAGATTCATTTGATATCCATACAGATAAAATCTTGAAAATTAAAGATAATACTATTACAGTGTTTTGGTAAGACTGAAAGTCAATTTGGAAAGCTTAATGTTACAGTTCCAACATGTGCAGTTGTTGGCAGAAGTTTTGAAAGAGCAGGAGGAGCTTATCTGACATGTGTTATATATGTGAGAAGGAAAAAAGATTGTGTTGTGATATTTTGGGGTACTGGAACTTTAAAATTTTTCCTTCCTAGGTAATCTAGATTCAATGACAATAGAGAAATGTGCGCGACTCCAGAGTTCTGTGTCCAACTTCACCTTTTGTCTTATTGGGTGTTCCTGAGCACATGCCTGATGTTCCCCCTCAGCTCTAATATTTACTCTTTACTTCTATATTTTCACATTGTGAGTAGTAATGTATTTATACACTGTGTTTATTATTCTATGAATGGTAGTTTAGTTATTGGGGACAAAAGCTTGTAGTGTCTCAGAATATAGACAGAAAGTCTTTAGTCTCTACCTATTAATACTTCTTTATGGGCACTAAATATTTTTATTTCTATTGTGATTTTAATGGTTAAGAAAAGCATATCTGCAGAATAATAGTCATTGTATATAATCATATTTATTATTTTTATATTTATATTAAATATTTAAAAACATTTAAGTAGACAATAAATTATACATATAGTAGTGATCTCATACAATGATATTAATGCTGAAAAACTATTTTCTCCAAGTGACCTGGTAGTCATCGTGATGTCTTAATGTGATACATTAGCCACGTGCCGTGATGCTGATGTTAACAAACGTGTGTTGCTAATTATATGAAAATACACCACAAAAGTCATAGCATTTATAACTATATGTATATTTGTATATATGATTGTATAAATATAGTGTTTACAGCTAATATTGACAACTATAGCAAGCAACTATAGCAAATATATTGGGGTTCATGTATTTTTTACACTCTTTCGTCTCTCCTTTCTGTGCATGTGTATGTTTGATGCTGGCCGTCAAACCAGGGGCCTCCTTATATATGCTAAGCCCAGCCCTACTGCTGTTTTATTGTTATTTCTGTTTATTGAAAAACACACAGAGACTCAGTGCAACCTTATGCCTGCCACAGCCTCATATATTTCATTTTACTGAATCAGCAGGCCATGCAGAGTGATCCACCCTGGGTTTGTGATGCACAGTGATGGAACTTACTCACAATGTATTTCTCAGAATGTCATAATATGTGTTTGTACTTGTTAAAATTAACCTATAGAATAAGAAGAAATAATTCCCAGTAAGGAGTGTGTGTGTGTTTCAAGAACATAAAGAAAAAAATCAACCACTGAGGTGAATAGCTTGGGAAGATAGAAGTGAAAGAAGAATAGATTGAGATTTAGAAAGCTTCATCAGTTGAGTGGCATGCTTCTCATTCTTAGATAAGTACTGAAACCTTGGGGAACATTGGAATCCTGAACTGGAAATACAGGAGAGCACTATACATGTTTGGATCCAAAGCAAGTGGGGAATATGAAAAAAATCTGTATGTGGCCAGCATTCCTCAAAAGAACACACTCTCATAAAGGATAAACAACAATGACACAATTCTCCCCATCCATGGAAGATAAGCATGTTTATTTTTCATGACATTGACTACAAGTGGAAAATAGATAGAAAACCTCTCTTTGTGCATCATAAACTTTCATAGCCCTCCTGAGTTTAGAGTTTGGCTTTACATTGAATTTGAAAGACACACCAGATGAATTGCTTTCAGATAGTTGTGGGTCGGCGGGACCCGTCATTTTCAATCACATATCTATTCTGAAGGAATGCTATTTCTGTTTGAGCTAAGCTCTTGGCAAATTGTGTGTGTGTGTGCGTGTGTGTGTGTGTGTGTGTGTGTGTGTGTGTGTGTGTGTGTGTGTGTATCAGGGAAGAGGTGGATATTATAGTCTTCAGCACCTCCTTTTGTAGTTAGTAAAAGCTGTAAGAACCTGTAGTTATATATTCTGTTGTATCTTTCTTAATATATACAAGCTCTATGTAAATATGGGAGGCAGAAGGCAGGAGGGAGGAAAGATGGTCTGGGAAAAGAGTGTTATTCTTCTTCCAGCTCCGTACTATCCAAGAGCTTCATTGTTAGTTTCAGTGTAAACACACAGATAAAAAGTGTCACAGCAATTTGTATATTGAGAAATATGCTGTGCGTAAATGAACAACTGAGAAAAATGTCAAAAACAGAGGTGAGCAAAGGAAACTAATGTTTCAAAATTATCGAGGTTTCTTTCTTTTTTATGTGTCATTTTTGCTATGGGTTGCCTATAGTTTGATAAGATATTGACAACTGAAAGACATACCCTCCCACTTTCTGGAAACTATACATAATTCAGACAATGTTTAAGTCTTTTAGAATTTTAAATTCATTGAAGACAGATGGGTGTGGCATTGGGATGTCACTGTAGACACATGTGGATGCTGGTCTTTAACAGTCCTGCATAAAGAAAAGCCTAGCAGAGACCATTTCTAACCCTGCCTTTTAATAGAAATGGCAGTAACAACAATAGAACAAGCAGGTTTAAATTTAGATAACAAGAAACAAAACTCTTGGAAAAAAATCTTAACGTTTCAATGTAGGGGAAATGAGAGAGTCCAGCTTCATTAGGAACATGGCTAACCTTGGCTTCAGGAAGCAATGGTCGTACTTCATTTTAATGGAATCTTTGAAGTGGTTTCTAGTAAAATTTGTGGTGGATGTGGAGTGGATATCATTTGCTTTAATTCAGGGGTGGAGAAACAGTTTGCAGTGTTCCAAACTAGAAGTTACTATTAAGGCAAGGAGACATGTAATAAGTAGAAACTTGGCTACAGTAGTAGGAAACAAATGGGAGTTATAAATGGAATGTCCCCCTCAGTCTGGAAAGCACATCTAATCAACTAGTAGAGGAACCTTTCCTGGATTTTCAGGTTTTATTGTGTTTTTAATCACTTAAACATGTAACTCATGGGACTACATGGGTATGTGGACATTAATAATTGAACTTATCAGATATGTTTAATATAGAGAAATTATTCTGATCATAGATGTAAGTTAGGGATATTTATAACTACTCAAAAGCAATAGAGCAAGAAAATGAGGTGATAAAATGTACAACAATTTAGTAATGGAAGAAACATACATGGCCCTATATACATGTCTCCAATTTTATGTAAAAACTGAGTTTTACCCTGTTTCATATTCCCCAAGTCCCTAAATAAAACACCAGTTTAACAAATTGGTTAATCTACTTAATATAAAACAATTGCTCATTTTTCTCCATTAAAATGTTTTGAACTTTCATAATTGAGTAAAGCAGAGTAAAACAAATAATATCCAATGCTGCAAATAATGGTCACATGTTAATTGCTAGCATAGAGACAGAGCAGAAAGCCCAACATTTCTCATGAAGAAATACTACATGCTTTTTTTTAAATTTAATAGACCTCTAGCTAGTGTGCCTTTCCTTGTAATGCTTTCCATATGTTTATTATTCTCTTTTAGAAAGACTAAATTATTAACCTAATTTTTACATCAAAAGCATTCATGGTTTTATGTAGACTCTTACTAAACCATGTTAAAATGCCACCAAACTACAAGTTTTTCCTAATGTAATTGGTTTATGTGGTTCTCAAAAAGGATTTAAAACAATTTCCTCTAATACCTAGCCAAGTCTTTCTCTTTTTTCACTTCCTACTTATTATAAAGGATGCAATTGTGCAAAATTGAGACAAGTCACAGAATTTCCAGAAGAGTTCCTTGATAATGGTGCACTTGGTGGGCAAATTCATGACAGTCATTGCAATTAGTGCCTTAGCCAACAATATTAACTTTTAGCATGTATCTTATTTATGAGCAAAGCCATAGTGCAGAACATTGGGTAGCAAATATATGTAGAAATGGATACATTAGATATTATTCATTTATTTAATAAATTTTTAACAGCTAAGTAAAACAGAATACAAGAAAGGAAAGGATGCAGGGGACTTCTAGGGTAAGATGGCAAATGAGGAGCTTCCTCTGTGCTGCTCTGTGAATAAAGAGTGTTAAGGCAACAAAAGAGACCCAGTATTACAAGAAGAGAAAGAGATAAACAGCTATAGAAGTTCAGAAGGAGGTGACAGTACAGCTACAGATCACAGACAGCTAGGAAGTCACCACCAAAAAGTAGGAAATGTCCTGAGGAGGATATTCCAGTAAAGGACAAATACAG